TCAAGACCAGCCTGACCAACATGGCCAAACCCATCTCTACTAAAAATACAAAAATTAGCCAGGCATGGTGGCGGGCACCTGTAATCTCAGCTACTCAGGATGCTGAGGCAGGAGAATCACTTCAGCCCAGGAGGCAGAGGTTGCAGGGAGCCAAGGTCGCGCCACTGCACTCCAGCCTGTGGGACAGAGCAAGACTCCGTTTAAAAAAAAAAAAAAAAAAAGTAGTGAACTGTAGTGCACAAAGACAGTGCATAGTCTCTAGAATGGTCAAAACTGGCCTGAGGTTAGGGGCTATTTACCGGTAAAGAATGCTTTTTTGGCTGGTCCTCTGTCCAATTAGAGTTGTGTTGGGACCATCAGGGAGGCTCAGTCAGCTGGGGTCAGGCAATGTCTTAGGGTCAGCTGGGAAGTTTCCAGCTGTAGTTGTTTTGGCAATGCTTTTCAGGAGTTGGTTTCTGCTTAATTACAGGAAAGAACCTTATGGCAATTAACGCAGAAATACGTGCCTGACTCACCCTCCTGGCCATGAGATTCTGTTTTGGGTGTGTCCCACCCACAGTGGGACTCTGATGAAGTCCCACTTCATCTGTATGTTGGGAAATGTTTTAACACTGATATTGGGACTCAGACATTGAAACCTCAAATACTGGCTCTATGACATGCTGAGAAGCCTTAGGAGCAGCCTCAGAATCAAGGCCCTTCTCATCTTATTTTGTTCCTCTGCCAGGAGCAGGGAGGGACGCTAGAATTTAGAAAGCTCCTCCAAAAGAAATGCAATGGTCTTGAGACTCCCTCCCTCGGGATCTCAAAAACCAGGAAAGATTAACCACCAGAGAGAAGAACGGGGAGTGATCACCACATTCAGTCTTTTCCTCTGTTCTTCTTAGGGCAGCTCTAAGAGGTTACCTAAGAAACTTCACCTGCATAACATGACAGTCTTTGTCGTGTGAACCATTGTCACACCAATTGTGAACCAACGTTCCTGTAAACCAGTGTATGAGCACTGGACCTATTCATTCCATTTCTCCTTCCCCTATGACTTGGACATTTAAGTCTCAATCATCTGCCCCTCTTTGAGTTCATATTTTGTGTGGATCCCATGGGCACGTGTGCATGTAACAAATTTACTATGCTTTTCTCTTGTTAACCAGTTTTGTGTCAGCTGTGATCCTTTACAACGGCGAGGAAAGGGATCACCCCCTTTCTGGCCCCACACTGGTCTTCTACTGAAAATTACCAGGCATGCAACGAAAGGGAGCTAGAATTCACCTCTAGCGGAGAGAATAAAAAAGACTCAGATTGATGCAGATAATGACGAAAAGCTTTAAAACAGCTATTACAATTAGACTGCCTATGGTCAAGCGTGTAGAGGAAGCAGGAGTATAAGATCATCAATTATCCCGGCCCGCGGGATAGTCGAAGCAGGCCCTGGAGGAGGGGGTGGGAATTTGGGGAACAAGAGATACGAGAAATGGAGACAAGACAGTGCTCTGATCAAGTCTCGTTTAATGGCGTAATGCAGTGCCTTATATACACTTGGAGGGGAAGGGTTGGGCCAAGGCGAAAATGATCTCATAGTGGAGGCGTGGCCAGATAGGTATTGGTTTCTCTGGTCGAACGTCATGTTGCACCTGCGCTGTCAGATAGTAATTTTCGCGGGCGCGGGAAAAATGGGTGAAGAAGAAGCAGGAAGAGCGCCATCTTTTATGAGGTATTAATACAGGGAAAAAGGTAAATCTAGGGAGGAGGTAGAAGGTGGAAATGAATAGAGCTCAGGCGTTTTTAATCGTCAGTTATTATTCGCTATGGCCGGGGCGTGCAGCTCCGGACAGGTCCCCCTTTTAATTATTTTATGATGAGAAAACGACCCCTCGGGAACTGCGCCTGTCTTAGGTTGGGTCAACTCATCCCCACCTTCTAGGCCCGTCATGGGATAAGGCAGCAGCAAGGGCGGCCCTCCTGTCTTAGGCTCCGATGGAGATAGTGTCCTCTTACCCGTCATTGACTGTCCAGTTCAGCACACAGGGGAGGTGGTCTTATTAAGGCAAATAAGACTCACCATTTTCAGTCATCTCAAGGCGATGATAATGGACCTGTATAGGTTTGGCCTGGAAGGCCTCGATTTGTTGTCTGACGAATGCCATAAGCTTATTAAAGATTATAGGCCCGAGAGTGAGAAAGAGTAGAAGAGTAAGTAAACGACCAAGAAATGGCAGGAGATGGGGAGAAGTCCATCGAGTCCAGTCCACAAGGGATTAGCGACCAGATCTTTTCTGCGCTTTTCTAGTTCTTCCTGTAAAGTCTTTATCTTATCTCTGACGATTCCGGATTTGTTGGCGTAAAAACAGCACTTTTCATTTCCATGACTGGTCTGGCATTAGGTAAGCTGTCTTGCCCGAGCAAGTCACCTGGGTGATTCTGTCTGACGGAGGTTCAGATACCTGTCCCCCTCTGCAATCACAAGGCTGGCCGTATTGTTTTCGTAATAATTCTCTTGCCTTACGAGGGTCACCAAAACCTGCATAGACTGTCACTATGTTATATAGAGCGATTATTCTCCAAAGGAATCTCATGTTAGGCTTCATTTTCTGAAAAACAAAAAGGAAAGAACTTCTCAGGGAGATTTATCTTCCCTGGACTGACAATGGTTATGATTTATTTGTCTTACCAATCTTTCAGGCAGCCATCTGGCTGCATCATTTTTTTGTGAGAAGATGCATACTGAGCCTCTTCCCCAAATTAAAACTGGATCGGGGCCATGCCATGAATTATTAAGTGGATCTTTCCATTTTACCATTGCAAACTGTTTTTGAGATTCAGGATGCCAGAAACGATCGGCAGCCGATTTTCCATGACTGTCCAAATTTAAAAAATTAAGGATAAACAGGGCATGATTGAGTATGTTTCTAGGGGTACCCTTCACGGGGTACCAGCTCCCCCCTTTTAATTTTGTGATAACAGTTTTTAATGACAGATGAGCTCTTTCTACTATACCTTGTCCTTGGGGATTATAGGGAATGCCTGTGGTATGTTTAATTTGTAGGGTATTACAGAATTGTAAAAAGGTTTTGGCTATATAACCGGGGCCATTATCTGTTTTGATTTGTTTGGGTATTCCTAAGATAGAAAAGCAATGCAATAAATGAGCTATGACATGTTTGGTGGCCTCTCCTGTTTGGAGAGTTGCACTGATGAATCCACTATAGGTGTCTATGCATACATGGATATATTTTAGCTGACCGAATTCTAAGTGGTGAGTAACGTCCATTTGCCAAATTTCGTTGGGGATGAGTCCTCGGGGGTTAACTCCTAGATAGGGAACAGGCAAATACGTTATGCAGTTGGCGCATTGTTTAACTATTTGTCGAGCTTGTTCTCTGGTAAGTTTAAACATGAGTCTTAAGGTTTGGGCGTTTAAATGATGCAAGGCATGTGCTTTTTGTGCTTGTTGCAAATTGTCTGTAGTGACTGTGGCTATGATTTTTCTTGCCGCGTCAGCTGTTGCGTTACCTTGTGTTAAAGGTCCCGGTAATCCTGAATGTGCTCTAATATGCCCAAGAAAAAAGGGAGTAGTCCTTTTTCGAATAAGTTGTTGACATTGTAAAAATAGGTCAGCTGTGTCTGAAATATGTTTAATTTGAGGCACGGTCTCTAAGAGGGGTATCGAATGAGCCAGGTAGGTGCTGTCTGTGTAAATGTTAAGTGGCTGACAAGGAAAAGCTGATAGTGCTGCAATTATAGCTTGCAATTCGACCAGCTGAGCTGATGTATAAGTGGTCTGGAATTTAACGACTACATTATTGTAAGTGTAAGCGGCAAGTCCTGTGGAAGATCCATCAGTGAAAATTAATAATGCGTCATTGAGAGGTTCTTTGCTGGTAATATGGGGAAACACAAACACATGAAGTTTACAAAATTGAATAAGTTTGTTAGGTGGGTAATGGTTGTCAATCGCGCCAGCATAAGAAGCGCAAGCAATTGGCCAGGCTTCCGTATTTTGTAATAGCCAATGAATGTGTGATTGAGTGTAGGGCTGTATAATGGTAGAGGGTTCTATTCCAAAGTATTTTCTACTGTTTTCTCTTCCCAAGATAATTAGATCAGCTATGGCATCATAATAAGCAACAAAACCTTTTAGGGGAGGAGGGCAGGTGTACCCACATAATGGATATTCTGCCAAAATAGGCCAGTAGGGTTATTGTTGTGTTAAAAATAAGGAATATTAATGGCTGAGATTAGTCAATACTGGTAACAAATTGTGTTGCAATGGCATGTTCTACCTGTTGGAGTGCCATTAATGCTTCTTTAGTAATGGACCTGGGAGATTTGGATTAGAGTCTCCTTTAATATATCGAAAAGAGTTTTAACTCTCCTGTGGTGAGTTTAAGTACGGCCGAAGCCAATTTATGTCTCCCAGTAATTTTTGGAAATCATTTAAAGTTTTTAAATGATCACGACGTATAACGGCCTTTTGATTAATGATTTTGGGTCCATAATTTGAAAACCAAGATAGGTGTATGGATCTTGTAATTGTACCTTTCTGGGGCTATTTGTAGTCCAGCTGCTGCTAACTCTTGTTTGAGTTGAGCAAAGCACTGTAAGACTGTTCGCCAATTTCTCCTGCTATTAAATATCATCCATATAATGTATAATATACATTTGTGCCCACGTTTTTCTGACTGGCTCTATAGCAGCAGCTACATATTTTTGACACAAGGTAGGACTATTAGCCATACCCTGAGGTAAGACTTTCCATTGATAGCGTTTCATTGGTTGTTTAAAATTTATAGATGGAAGACTAAAGGCAAATCTTTTTTGGTCAGCAGGATGAAGGGGAATTGTAAAAAAGCAATCTTTAAGGTCAATAATGATTTTAAAAATATTTTGAGGAATCGCAACCGGTGAAGGTAATCCTGGTTGTAAGGCACCCATAAGGATCATAGTGATATTTACTGCTCTTAAATCTTGTAAACGCAAAGCATGCCTACAAGACCAAAAACCTCATCACCTGGGTACGCGGTAGAGAAGTAAATAATGGTCTGCACCCCAGACGCAGCAAATCAGAATCTTGGAGGGCAGAGCTCTGCAAGCTGTGATTGAACAAGCCTCCCAGGTGAGTTTCATGCACACTGAAGGCTGAAACTCAATGAGAACCATTGTTTTAACCAATTAAAATACAATCTTCAGGTGGTTCATATACACTGCCAAAATTGAGAAAGCTTGAGAATCACTGAATAGTAATAATTATTTTCAGATGATACTCGACAAATTTACAAAAACTGCAAACATGCAAGACCCGCCTAGCCATCTGCACATCCACTGGGATCCACTCCCACGATCACCCTCGAGGGAAATGAGACCCTCCTCCGTATCTTGCGGAGGCCCTGCAAGGTTAGAACGGGAGCTCACCTTTAAAATATGCTCTGTCTGAGCGACCGCAGCCACGACTTGCGGATCGACCTCCTTCCTATCTATTAAATCTCCAATGAGGTTCCAATAAGAGAAAACGATCACAGGAATTTTTTCTGGCCCAAAAGTATTATAATAGTCCTGAAGACAATCTCCTACTCTACGCCATATTTTGATATCAATAGTTCCTTCCTGTGGGAACCAAGGGCAAGTATCTTTTACAAAATCAAAAAATTTAAACAAGTCATTACCTTTAACCTTTACTCCTCGTATCTTTAAAGCCTCTTTTAATTGTCCTACATATATTTGATGTTGACTTAATTCTTGTCCCATTTCGGACGCGTCACTTACCTTCGATTCAGACGCGGCAGGTTCCCGCGGTGATCAGTTTAATTCCTTTTGTCTTTGTTAGCGGTCGACCATCCTTTGGCATCCTCTTCCTCACGGAGTCCCTCGTTTCCAGGTCCCTGTTCGGGCGCCACGTATCCCGGCCCGCAGGATAGTCGAAGCAGGCCCTGGAGGAGGGGGTGGGAATTTGGGGAACAAGAGATACGAGAAATGGAGACAAGACAGTGCTCTGATCAAGTCTCGTTTAATGGCGGTAATGCAGCGCCTTATATACACTTGGAGGGGAAGGGGTTGGGCCAAGGCGAAAATGATCTCATAGTGGAGGCGTGGCCAGATAGGTATTGGTTTCTCTGGTCGAACGTCATGTTGCACCTGCGCTGTCAGGTAGTTAGTAATTTTCGTGGGCGCGGGAAAAATGGGTGAAGAAGAAGCAGGAAGAGCGCCATCTTTTATGAGGTATTAATACAGGGAAAAAGGTAAATCTAGGGAGGAGGTAGAAGGTGGAAATGAATAGAGCTCAGGCGTTTTTAATCATCAGTTATTATTCGCTATGGCCGGGGCGTGCAGCTCCGGACAATCAATGGACGAGAACTGCAAAATACAGTGACTGAAAAAAAAAAATCAGTGAAGTCACACTATCCTGTTAAACCCAGGAATTCTAAAGCAATAGCACATCAAGCCCTTCAGTATATTTCTAAGAGTGAAATGAGAAAGGTCACAGGTGAAGTCTCACCCATTTCCCCACGTGAAGTACAAATGCTCATGTATATACAGTTTACACACATCACTAGTAAGACTAGGATGACATTTCATGTCAAACAGGATTAAAATCAAAGCAACAGTCCCCAAACAGTTGATGTTCAAACACCAGAGCCACTTCCAAACCATCTGTACAAAATAAGGCTGTTTTTTTTTTTTTTTTTTTTTTTTTCTTTTTTTTTTTTTTGAGACGGAGTCTCGCTCTGTCGCCCGGGCTGGAGTGCAGTGGCCGGATCTCAGCTCACTGAAGCTCGCCTCCCGGGTTTACGCCATTCTCCTGCCTCAGCCTCCCGATAGCTGGGACTACAGGCGCCCGCCACTCGCCCGGCTAGTTTTTTGTATTTTTTTTTAGTAGAGACGGGGTTTCACCGTGTTAGCCAGGATGGTCTCGATCTCCTGACCTCGTGATCCGCCTGCCTCGGCCTTCCAGAGTGCTGGGATTACAGGCTTGAGCCACCGCGCCCGGCCAATAAGGCTGTTTTTAATGCCACTATGCCACCTTGTTCAAGAAGCATTAGACAGCCGGGCGTGGTGGCTCACGCCTGTAATCTCAGCACTTTGGGATGCCAAGGCAGGCGGATCACCTGAGATCAGGAGTTCAAGACCAGACTGGCCAACACTGTGAAATCCTGTCTCTACTAAAAATACAAAAAAATTAACCGGGCGTGGTGGTGAGGCTACTCCACCCCAGGTCCCTCTGTGGTTGCGGAGTAGTCACTGAGTATGCAAAAAACTCACTCAAAGGGTATTGAAATAAAGTAAAGGTCGGGCGTGGTGGCTCACGCCTGTTCAGCACTGGGAGGCGGGTGGGGGATCGGGGAGGGGGGCCGTCTAAAATAGAAATTGCCGGGCGGGGGGGGGGCGAGGCTATCGGGAGGCGGGAGGGAATGGGTGACCGGGAGGGGGTTGAGTGAGGAGTTGCGCCTGCACTCCAGCCTGGGCGACAGAGCGAGATCGTTCAAAAAAAAAAAAAAAAAAAAAAAAGAAATAAAGTAAAATGTGTGCTTCTGTTGCTGGAAGTCAGGGACCCTGAATGGAGGGACCGGCTGAAGCCACGGCAGAAGAACATAAATTGTGAAGATTTCATGGACATTTATTCGTTCCCCAAATTAATATTTTTATAATTTCTTATGCCTGTATTTACTTTAATCTCTTAATCCCGTCATCGTCATCTTCTTCGTAAGCTGAGGAGGATGAATGTCACCTCAGGACCCTGTGATGATTGTGTCAACTGCACAGATTGTTTGTAGAGCATCTCGTTTGAACAATATGAAATCTGGGTATCTTAAAAAAAGAACAGGTTAACAGCAATGTTCAGGGAACAAGAGAGGTAACTTGGAACTGGCCGCCGGTGAGCTGGATAGAACAGAGCTATATTTCTCCTCTTTCAAAAGCAAACAGGAGAAATATCGCTGAATTCTTTTTCTCAGCAAGGAACATCGCTGAGAAAGAGAATGTGCCCTGAAGGTAGGCTTATAGACTGCCCCTTTAAGGCGTGCCGCCTTTTAAGGTTGAAGCCCAAGGGATGAAATAAGCCCCGGTCTCCCGTAGTGCTCCCAGGCTTATTAGGATGAGGAAAATTCCCGCCTAATAAATTTTGGTCAGACCAGTTGTCTGCTGTCAAACCCTGTTTCCTGATAAGATGTTATCAATGACAATGCGTGCCTGAAACTTCATTAGCAATTTTAATTTCACCTTATCGGGTGGGTCCTGTGATCTTGCCCTGCCTCCATTTGCTTTGTGATATTTTATTACCTTGTGAAGTATGTGATCTCTGTGACCCACACCCTATTTGTGCACTCCCTCCCCTTTTGAAAATCGCTAATAAAAAACTTACTGGTTTTAAGGCTCAGGGAACATCATGGATCCTGCCGACATGTGATGTCTCCCGTGGACACCCAGCTTTAAATTTCTCTCTCTTGAGCTCTTTCCCTGTATTTCTCAAACTAGCCGAGACACTAGGAAATAGAAGACAACCCACGTTAAACATCAGGAGTGGGTCAATCCTTACTTTCCTAGGGCCAGTATATCAAAGTGTTGGTTTACACGTTTTATGTCAGCTTTTCAATATCTGCACAAATTCCTGCCGGCATTTTTATTGGGATTGCCGTGCATTAATAGAGAAGTTGGGGGAAATTGACATCTTAGCAATATCAACCTTCTGATCCATAAAAAGTTGTTGGCTTAAGTATTATTTGATCTTCATCAGAGTTTCGTAGTTTTCAGCATATGGATTTTGCACATATTTTGTTAAATTTACACTGGTGTACTTTATTTTGTCTTTTTCTTTTTTTTTTTTGGCTACTGTAAATGGTATTCTTATAACTTAAAATTCCAGTTGTGGCCAGGTGCAGTGGCTCACGCCTGTAATCCCAGCACTTTGGGAGGCCAAGCGGATCCAGGTCGAGATCACATTAAAAAACTTAAAATACAAAAAAATAGCCAGGCGTTGGCGAGTCCATCGGACAGGCAGGAGATCTGAACGAGCAGAGCTTGCAGTGAGCCAAGATGCGCCACTGACTCAGCCTGGGTGACAGAGCCAGACTCTGCCTCAAAAAAAAGAAAAAAAAAATCAGGCTGGCGCGGTGGCACGCTGTAACCAGCACTTGGAGGAGGCGGAGATCACAAGGTCAGGAGATCGAGACCATCCTGGCTAACACAGTGAAACCCTGTCTCTACTGAAAATACAAAAAAAATTAGCCAGGCGTGGTGGCGGGAGCCTGTAGTCCCAGCTACTCGGGAGGCTGAGGCAGGAGAATGGCGTGAATCCAGGAGGCAGAGCTTGCAGTGAGCCAAGATTGCGCCACTGCACTTCAGCCTGGGTGACAGAGCCAGACTCTGCCTCAAAAAAAAAAGAAAAAAAAAATTCCAGGTGGGCGGGGCTCACGCCTGTATCCCAGCCTTGGAGGCCAGGGGGTGGATCACAAGGTCAGGGATCGGACATCTGCTAACACAGTCAAACCCTGTCTCTACTGAAAATACAAAAAAAATTAGCCAGGCGTGGTGGCGGGAGCCTGTAGTCCCAGCTACTCGGGAGGCTGAGGCAGGAGAATGGCGTGAATCCGGGAGGCAGAGCTTGCAGTGAGCCAAGATTGCGCCACTGCACTCCAGCCTGGGTGACAGAGCCAGACTCCGCCTCAAAAAAAAAAGAAAAAAAAAATTCCAGGCTGGGCGCGGTGGCTCACGCCTGTAATCCCAGAACTTTGGGAGGCTGAGGCAGGTGGATCACAAGGTCAGGAGATGGAGACCATGGTAAAACCCCGTCTCTACTAAAAATACAAAAAATTAGCCAAGTGTGATGGCAGCGCCTATAGTCCCAGCTACTTGGGAGGCTGAGGCAGGAGAATCGCTTCAACCCAGGAGGCAGAGGTTGCAGTGAGCCGAGGGCTACTGCACTCTAGCCTGGGTGACAGAGTGACACTCCGTCTCAAAAAAAAGAAGAGAAAAATGGGACATGAAGTAAACGGATATGATTAAAAGAAACTACATCAAGTGAATTCACTATAATGTCTCCAAGCAAGGCAAGATCACCCTCTTCAGATAAGGAATGAGAGGCTACTTATTTTGACCAAGTTAGCTCCACAATTTGGAGAACCAAGGGCTACATGGATACTCGTTTTGTTTCCCCACCCATCCCCACCACTGCCAAAAAAATACTTGAGAACCCATTATTTCCCAATTCATGCTTCTACTTTCATATAAAAGAAAAGTTGATACTCCAAAATCAACTTAAATTTTAATTAACCAAATACAATCTTCCTAAAGAGAAACATTTCACAAGAGTTAAGCCAACAGAAAGATAGGGAATATGAAACAACAAAGAACATCGGTTGTTTGAAAAGATAACAAAATTGGCAAATGTTTACTTAGGCTAGGCAAGAAAAAAAAGAGAAGAGAATCGAATTACTAAAATCAGCAATAAAAGAGAACACATCACTGCCAGTATCACAAAATAAAAATGATTAAAAGAGAATGCAATGAAAATCTTATGCCAAAAAAATTAAGATAGCCTAGATAGAATGGATAAAGTCCTAGAAACAGACAAACTAAACCAGAGTAAAGGAGAAATATAAAATATAAATAGATCTACAGAAGGTGAAAAGATCAGATTGTAACTTTAAAAACTTATAATAAAAATCCCGTATTAGGGAGCTTCCCAGGTGAAGTCTATCAAACACTCTGAGAAATTAATATCAATTGTTCACTAACTGTTGCAGAAAATAAAAGGGGAGAGAACACTTCCCAATTCATTTTATAAAGCCAGGATTACTATGACACCAAAACAGTATCACAAAACAATATAGACCAGTATCTTTCATTATTTTATAAAATCAAACATACTCAACAAAACACCGCCAAATGAAATCCAGCAACACATAAAATAAATTATGCACTATGTGCAAATGTGCTTTACCCCAGGAATGCACCACTGATTTAATATTTGAAAAATCAATTGGCACAAACACCACATTAATAGAATAAAAGACACAACTATATGAGCATCTCAACAGAAATAAAGCATTTGAGAAAATCCGTATTTTTGCAAACCTTCTCTCCCTCCTGCTCACCTCCGTTCCTCTCTCATCATCCTCTTTTCCATCCACCCAAAAACGTTTCCCCACTGTCTTTCTGCAAAACCTTCTCTTCCCCCGTTCACCACCCTGTTTTCCCCTCCATCTACTCCCCCAATTTTTTTCCCACCATTTTTCCTCACCGTCTTTTTGCAATGTCTTCTGCTCGCCATCCTCTTTTCCCTTTGGCACTAACCACTTTCTGTACCCCTCCATCTACCCCCAAACTATTTTCCCCTTCCTACCGCTCCAGCTGCACTGCAGTCTCCGTGGCCACCAACTGCAGCTAGGCGAGCAGTGGTGCCAAAAGCTACAAGCCTGGAGCGTGTGGCGGTGGTTAGCCCTGGTCCTGGTCCTCTAAATCGGGCACGGAGAAGCTCACGGAGCAGACACAGAAGAGCCTGCGATAACTTGACTCCCCTTCAGCACCATTTATATACTGAGGTTATGCACATGCGGTTCCTGGACTACATGTTCTGATTGGATACGAGAAAAACCAGAGGCCTACTCTTATTGGACTTTATTAGCATGTTCTGATTGGATGAAAGCAAGTCTTAGGACAACCAATCAGAGTATGAAAATAAAGTCCAATCAGAGAAGGTCTAGAGGTTTTCTGTCATCCAATCAGAACATGTAGTCTAGAAATCATGCGCATAATCCCATGTGCATGTTGGGAAGGCCTCACATGGATTTAGGCTCTTTTGTATCAGCCTGCCTAGGTAG